TGTGGATTAATGCCTGGGCTCCTGTAGTGGGGGAAAGAAGTGGTTTCTGCCCAGGATGAGAGCCTGTTGGGGGGACTCTGTTCCTCCAGGTCAGGGATGGGGGAGAATGTGTATAGGGGTAGGTTTGATGGGTGGTTTTTCCAGGTTGGTTGGTTTGCCACAAGACTGAAAGGCATTCTTAACATAACTCCAGTGTGACTGGTATTTTGCTAGTTTATATTGTTTTAATGGTTTTATTGTAGTTGCATATTTCTTTTTTTATTAATATGTCTTTCACTGTTTTGGGGTCGAAAAGTATATATGCAAATGAACCATAGAATAATGTTGTTGTTGTTGTTGTTGTTGTTGTTGTTGTTGTTGTTGTTGTTGTAATATTTATACCCTGCCCATCTGGCTGGGTCCCCCCAGCCACTCTGGGGACATCATAATAAATAATCATAAATACTTATTTATGACATCATACATAATCATTCAGTTATGAAGCTCATTTGGTGACTTTGGGTCTCTATCTCTCAGTTTAGCCTATCTCAGAGACATGATTTAAGGATAAGATGTTTTAAACCTCACCCATGTAGATCTCTCTGAGTGTACTGGAGAATGGGTGGGGTATAAGTTTGATTTATTAATGATTCACTGATGAGGTTTTGGTGCTTATTAAATCCCTCTTGATATGATATGATTTACTATATTTCTATGCTGCTTTCCATTCAAGCGGACCCCAAAGTGGCTTGGAAACAATAAATAGCAACATACTTTCACCTGCTAGTTAAACTATTTTGGTGGAAGTGAAAAATGCAGTCCCTTTGCAGTCGCTTCATACAAAATTCTACGCTTCCGGTGCCCAACAGAACAGTAATAGCAGTCTCATGTTTTTGTTAATTCATCTTCCCTTCCACAAAGACCGCTTAAGGATCTGAAGCATCCCACTGCAAGTACATCGACATTAAAAACCTCACACCTCCTCCCCTGCCTTGCTACTCAACTATTTCATAGCTGCCACCTGCGCAACAAGAGCAGATCGGAGGAGGCTGATAACGGATAGGCTGAGCGGTTTTATTTTCATCTGAACTCTTCTGTAAATATAAACAACACCTGATCATCTGGATTGAAATGGCCCCCCAGAGGATACCTGGGCCATCTGCCTGGAACTTGGCAGAATCGATGCAGCCAAGCTCAATAAATGGCAATCAAGTACCTGCTCAAAAATGTCTCCTTTGATGGGCATCAAAGAAGCTCTTTTTAGGCACAGCTTTCTGTTTTGCTTCAGTCCAAACTGCTGGGCTGGCTCATATAGGCACATCCATCACTTAAGGACTGCCTTGCCCATATGTCCCAAACCGGTAACTGAGATCATCCGTGGGCGGGGAAGCTGTATTAGAAGGTCCCCCATGGATGAGAAGCACAATTTAAGTCAATGATGAGTCATGGCTTCAGTGTAGTAAGCCAAGCTCTATGGAACTCCCAACATTCGGAAATCAGACAGACACCGGGTTTCAAGGGCTGGGTTAAAACACTTTTCTTTCAGGAAGCTTTTGCACTGCAAGTACTACTTTCACAGAACCATCAAGTTGGAAGGGGCCCAAAGGACCATCTATGCAGGTATCATAGCTAAATAATCCCTGACAGATGGCCATTCAACCACCATTTAAAAACCTGCTATCTATTTTGTGATGTTTCACATTTTATAGATTGCACAGTCCGCCCCCCCACCCCCCATAAGCCCTTTGGGGACATATAGTGAAACGTGGGGTGTAGATTCATTTTAAAAAATACAATAAATTGGTAACTGTAAGCATGTGTGCATGAGTCACCCCAGATTCAACACTGCAGATAGCATTTTTATAGCTTCTTGTGTCATATCTCAGGGTGTTTCAATTGACTCGGTTTACATGTAGAACCATCCCACCATCACCCAATACTCCTGCCCATCTGCCACTCTTTCCATTCTCCCGATCTCCCCAGCTGTTTCCCCACCATCATCAGGGATGCTTGGGGAATGTGAATTTTACAAATCCCAGTATGAATGGACCATGATCCATATATCCCATGCTAACCCGTGGCTTGAAACAGAGCCTTCTATGTGGTTTTCCTCTCCAAATGTTGCACCATAGACTCCAGCTCAGAAAACATATATTAAGAGAGCCATCCTACAGGGGGAGGCAAGTGGTGGAGCAGACTAACCAGCCATATCCAAAGACCTGCCGGGCTCAGACATGCGAGGCAGAAATGAAGGCAGAGCAGAGTTTTCATGCTTTTCATCCCTATGCGGCCTAGGACCCACGTACCTACGGGACCGCCTCTCTTGGTATGCCCTGCAGAGGACCTTAAGGTCCACAAATGACAACAATTTGGAGGTCCCAGGTCGCAAGGTGGTTAGATTGGTCTCAACTAGGGCCAGGGCCTTTTCAGTACTGGCCCCGACTTGGTGGAACGCTCTGTCACAAGAGACTAGGGCCCTGCGGGACTTGACATCTTTCTGCAGGGCCTGCAAGACAGAGCTGTTCCACCAGGCCTTTGGTTGGACTCAGTCTGACCCTTATGTTTCCCTCCCCTTATGGTTTTGATCTCTGGGCTCCTTTTAAAATGAGGCTGCATTTTAAATTGCATTTTAACCTGTATTTTAATTTGGTTTTTTCCTATTATGTTTTTATTGTAATTTTACTGGTGTTAGCCGCCCTGAGCCCGGCTCTGGCCAGGGAGGATGGGGTATAAATAAAATTTGTTGTTGTTGTTGTTGTTGTTGTTGTTGTTGTTGTTGTTGTTGTTGTTGTTTTCCAGGCTTGTTTGTTTGTTTGTTTAAAATACTTTTGCCTACATTGGTTCAAACAGGAGGGAGTTAGATTTGCCAGCTCCATTCCACCCCCTGTTCCGGGGGGGGGGGGGTGTCAGAATCCTTCAGAACTGTATCTCTCCCCAGTCTGACACCGGCATGAAAATTATCCGCCTCTATCAATTTCTGAAGTCCTACATTAGTCAGGTAGGGGCTGCAGTAGCTTCTGCAGTGGCGGAGAGAGACCCTCCAAGGTAGGATCTCCACCTCCGAGGTCAGAACTCTCCTTCTGCATCTTTGGATGGCAGGGTAAATGCACTTGTAAATGCATATTTTGAGGCAAAATGTGTTTGGAACTGTACATCGCAAGAAAAAAATCAGAAATGCAATTCTTTATGCAGCTTTAAAACAACAGCAAGCAGCACCCAGTAGCGATGGTGCAGAACAGGCGAAGTCCCGGCAGACTGGAGGAGGGCAAATGTTGTCCCTCTTTTCAAAAAGGGGAAAAGAGAGGACCCAAATAATTACCGCCCAGTCAGTCTGACATCAATACCAGGGAAGATTCTGGAGCAGATCATTAAGCAAACAGTCTGTGAGCACCTAGAAAGGAATGCTGTGATCACCAATAGTCAGCATGGATTTCTGAAAAATAAGTCATGTCAGACTAACCTGATCTTGTTTTCGACAGAATTACAAGCCTGGTAGATGAAGGGAACGCAGTGGATGTAGCCTACCTTGATTTCAGCAAGGCATTTGACAAGGTGCCCCATGATATTCTTGTAAAGAAGCTGGTAAAATGTGGTCTTGACTATGCTACCACTCAGTGGATTTGTAACTGGCTGACTGACGGAACCCAAAGGGTGCTCATCAATGGTTCCTCTTCATCCTGGAGAAGAGTGACTATGGGTTGCCGCAGGGTTCTGTCTTGGGCCCGGTCTTATTCAACATCTTTATCAACGACTTGGATGATGGACTCAAGGGCATCCTGATCAAATTTGCAGATGGCACCAAACTGGGAGGGGTGGCTAACACCCCAGAGGACAGGATCACACTTCAAAACGACCTTGACAGATTAGAGAACTGGGCCAAAACAAACAAGATGAATTTTAACAGGGAGAAATGTAAAGTATTGCACTTGGGCAAAAAAAATGAGAGACACAAATACAAGATGGGGGACACCTGGCTTGAGAGCAGTACATGTGAAAAGGATCTAGGAGTCTTGGTTGACCACAAACTTGACATGAGCCAACAGTGTGACGCGGCAACTAAAAAAGCCAATGCAATTCTGGGCTGCATCAATAGGAGTATAGCATCTAGATCAAGGGAAGTAATAGTGCCACTGTATTCTGCTCTGGTCAGACCTCACCTGGAGTACTGTGTCCAGTTCTGGGCACCACAGTTCAAGAAGGACACTGACAAACTGGAACGTGTCCAGAGGAGGGCAACCAAAATGGTCAAAGGCCTGGAAACGATGCCTTATGAGGAACGGCTAAGAGAGCTGGGCATGTTTAGCCTGGAGAAGAGGAGGTTAAGGGGTGATATGATAGCCATGTTCAAATATATAAAAGAATGTCACATAGAGGAGGGAGAAAGGTTGTTTTCTGCTGCTCCAGAGAAGCGGACACGGAGCAATGGATCCAAACTACAAGAAAGAAGATTCCACCTAAACATTAGGAAGAACTTCCTGACAGTAAGAGCTGTTCGACAGTGGAATTTGCTGCCAAGGAGTGTGGTGGAGTCTCCTTCTTTAGAGGTCTTTAAGCAGAGGCTTGACAACCATATGTCAGGAGTGCTCTGATGGTGTTTCCTGCTTGGCAGGGGGTTGGACTCGATGGCCCTTGTGGTCTCTTCCAACTCTATGATTCTATGATTCTAGAATAATGTGGAAACAGGTGGTCCAAAAAGTGAATAATTGCAAAGAAAGTGACATGGAGCAGAAATCAACTGATCCCTAGCAGCCAGGAATCCAAGTCTTATTTGTTAAGTGGAGAAAAATAGGTGGAGTTAGGGAATCGTTCACAAATGAAAGCCACCAGACATGAAAAGGGTTCGGGACCCCTCCTGCCCTTCACTTTGCTCCCCCAACCCTCTCAATATTTTTTATCTTTATCAATACTTTGCACACAGGAGCAAACATAATGCCCCAAGACTTTGTATCCATGCATTTTTAATAATACAGTCATACCTTGGGTTATGTTCACTGGAAGGACAGATCCTGAAGCTGAGGCTCCAATACTTTGGCCACCTCATGAGAAGAGAAGACTCCCTGGAAAAGACCCTGATGTTGGGAAAGATGGAGGGCACAAGGAGAAGGGGACGACAGAGGACGAGATGGTTGGACAGTGTTCTCGAAGCTACCAGCATGAGTCTGACCAAACTGCAGGAGGCAGTGGAAGACAGAAGTGCCTGGCGTGCTCTAGTCCATGGGGTCACGAAGAGTCGGACACAGCTAAACGACTAAACAACAACAACACCTTGGGTTAAATGTGCTTCAGGTTGAGTGTTTTCAGGTTACGCTCTGTGGTGACCCGGAAGTAACGGAGTGTGTTACTTCCAGGTTTCGCCGCTCGCGCACGCGCAGACACTCAAAATGACGTCACACGTATGCACAGAAACGGCAAATCGTGACCCGCACACACGCAGACATGGGTTGCGTTCACTTCAGGATGCAAATGAGGCTCCAGAACGGATCCCGTTCGCATCCAGAGGTACCACTGGAGGAGGAGGAGGAGGAGGAGGAGGAGGAGGAGGAGGAAGAAGAAGAAGAAGAAGAAGAAGAAGAAGAAGAAGAAGAAGAAGAAGAAGAAGAAGAAGAAGAAGATTTTCTTTGTTTCTGTTTGGAATTACACCTCACAAAAAGTATCCATTTTATTTAAACCATCTTGACGTCTTTTAAACACAGTAACTTACATTTATGCAATCAAATATGAATGACACTCTTTATTTATAAACACAAGTTTAAGTGCAGATTAAAACATTTGGAATGAAGTTTTGCCTGTCCTTAAAGTGATTATAGAGGTGGAGTTTGGAAGGGATCCTAATATCTGCCTGTTAAAAATGATTTGCAAGGCAGCATTAGATGAAAATGTAGGCATCACAGGTACTTAATGCACTGCCTGCGGCAAGAATAGTTGTGGTAAATAACTGGAAACGTGAAGAAGAAGAAAATATTTAGAGGAGGAATGGAGAGAAAAAGTTGGGTATATAAAAAGTTAGACCTTTAAACAAAGATTGAGGGAGAGGCTAATGAACTTTGAGAAGGTAGCAAACATTAATAAATCGAACCTTTTGGACTCAGTCTGAGCAGAAATATTGCCAAGGCTTTAGATTTTCTCAATGGAAGATTAAAACACCAGAGTTCTGTGGGTGTTGGGTGAAATGGTTACTTCATTTCTTTCCATTTTTTGTACATGAAAAGCACACATTCGTGGAATGTATGTAGAGATCTATTACCTTATTTGGGTGCTCGGTTGCTATATGCGGTGAAAATAATGGGATGGAGAGTGGAGCATCACAACCAAGTCCTGGCCCCTCCAGGTGCATCACCATCCCCTCCATGGGCTAGGGAGTGAAAGTCTGTCGTGGGGAGCCTCATGTACTTGTGGAAGCACCCCATATGATTTAGAGCCAGTTATGCAGGGTGCCTCCATTAGTCCAGGAAGATCCCTGTACTTCAGTCATGCACCCAACAATTTATTTGGGGTGAAGACAAGACACAGATGATGTACTGGAAGAAACACACCCTAGCATTTCCTTGTGTCATTGTCATCATGCGCAGCACTGAATGCTTCTATCATCTCTATCAACTATCTATCTATCTATCTATCTATCTATCTATCTATCTATCATCTATCATCTATCTATCTATCATCTATCTATCATCTATCTATCATCTATCTATCATCTATCTATCTACCGTATTTTTCGTCCCATAGGACGCTCCGTCCCATAGGACGCACCTACTTTTTTGGGGGGGGAAATAAAGGAAAATTTCCCCCCCTTTATTCCCCCCCCCAAAACCAGGTCCGGGAACTGTGGGATGGCGGTGCGGCGCCTCCCCGCTGTCCCCTGAGCTTGTGGGGCTGGCCGATGTCTGCCCGGCGCGAGGGGCGCTCTGCTTCAGGGCGCCCCACGCGCCCGGCGGCAGGCTGCGGAATCCTGCGCGAAGCATGGGGCGTCCTCCGGAGGGCGCCCTGTGCTCTGCGCTACAGGCTGCAGCCCGCAAGCCTTGCGCTCCCGGGGGGAGTTTCCCCCAGTGCGCAAGGCTTGCCGACAACTGCGCGAAGCACGGGGCGTCCTCCGAAGGGCGCCCCGTGCTTGGCGCTGCAGGCTGCCGCCCGCAAGCCTTGCGCGCCCAGGGGAACTCCCCCCGTGCGCAAGGCTTGCGGGTAGCTTCGTGGAGCCTGGAGAGCGAGAGGTGTCGGTGCGCACCATGCCTCTTGCTCTCCAGGCTTCAGCGAAAGCCTGCATTCGCCCCATAGGACGCACACACATTTCCCCTTCATTTTTGGAGGGGAAAAAGTGCGTCCTATAGGGCGAAAAATACGGTATCTATCTATCATCTATCTATCTATCTATCATCATCATCATCTATCTATCTATATCTATCTATATCTATCTATATCTATCTATATCTATCTATATCTATCTATCATCTATCTATCTATCTATCTATCTATCTATCTATCTATCTATCTATCTATTATTTCAGGAGTGGGAAACATTTTTCAGCCCAAGGGCCACATTGCTTCATGGGGAAAATCCCCGAGGGTTGAATGCCAGTGGTGAGCAGGGTCAGAGGTAAAACTGGGTGGGGCAAGGCATGCGATTTGTACAGTAGACTGTATTTCAGGCCTTAAGAAAGTCAGAGGTGCCAACACACCTGTCTCTATCCAGCCAGGGAATGGGGCCTGGGAATGCAAATATCTATTTCATCAGAGTTAAAAATCACCATCCATGTACAACTTATCTCTAGAAGCTATTAGAACTGGTTGCATAGAACCTAGAAGGTTGCATAGCCTTCTAGAACAATTATGATATCCAGGGATGCTTTGGACTGACTTGGATTATCTTCTCCTGTTTTATGTTTCCATATTAACAAAGAATTCACTCTCAGACTGTTTAGTAAACAAGAAAATGTGAGGTTTACTCACATCAAAGTCTTGACAGGATTCAACAGATATGATGATGAAAATCAGACAGGCAATAGGCTTTAAATGTTACAAATTTCCATAGTCCAGTTCAAAATGGAGATTGTTCTCTGCAGGAGAGCAAATATTGTTTTTTTCCATTGCAGTTAGGAAAAGAATGTGAGACAGGAATGAATATTCAGGGATTAACTCCCTGCCACCAGGTTTTGTGGGTATGACATCATGTTGTTGTTGTTTAGTCGTTTAGTTGTGTCCGACTCTTCGTGACCCCATGGACCAGAGCATGCCAGGCACTCCTGACTTCCACTGCCTCCCGCAGTTTGGTCAAAATGACGTAGTGTCACCTTTATACATGGAGCCATTGCTCCTGTTTGTGACTATCTAGCAATCATTTCAGCTGCACAGGAAGAAGGCATGTGGCCTAAAGTGAGTCCCAAGGGCCGGATAAAGATACTTGGGGGGCCATGTTTGGATTCTGGCCCTGAGATTTCCCACTCCTGATCTACCTATGTAGATACAGTGACAGACAGACATGCTTTGATTACTATTGCATTCCATTTATGTTTCATATTTTTATACTGAATAATAAGAAACTTAAAAATAAATTAAAATAAAGAAGAACCTGCGACTGACTGATGCGGCAGGTTTCTGGTAATGCTTATTCACTCAACACTGAGATCATTTATTAAAGGGTTGAATAGCAAAGAAAGGAAAAGGAAAGAAGTTTCCACTGTTAGAAACCTCAAATACAATAGCTTATAAAAATGGCACCTGCTAAGCTAATAATTTGAAGCTCAGAATACACGATCTACCTACAAGTATGTGCCAAATTGCACACTGATCCAATAAGAAGTTTCACAGCTACAGCAAGTAAAAAGTTCTGAAAATGGACCTTTTGACACTTGGTACTCCAATTTTTCAATTTGCATATCACACATTGCTTCCCAATGTGGAGGGAAACTACTGATGCACTTTATGTGGTCTTGTCAAGGAAGGCTACCCTTCATTGATTTCATAGAATCATAGAGTTGGAAGGGACCCAAGGCTCAACCGTCTGCAATGCAGGAATCTCAGCTAAAGCATCCATGACAGAGGGCCATCCAACCTCTGCTTAAAAGCCTCCAAGGAAGGAGAGTCCACAACCTCCCGAGGGAGACTGTTCCACTGTCAAACAACTCTTACTGTCAGAAAGTTTTTCCTGGTGGTTGATCGGAATCTTCCTTCTTGTAACTTGAAGCCATTGGTTCAAATCCTACTCTCCAGAGCAGGAGAAAACAAGCTTGCTCCCTCCTCCATGTGACAGCCCTTAAGATATTTGAAGATAGCTATCATATCTTCTCTCAGTCTCCTCTTTTCCAGGCTTAACATACCCAGCTCCTTCAAGTGCTCCTCATAAGGCTTAGCTTCCAGACCCTTGATCACCTCGGTTGCCCTCCTCTGCACACGTTCCAGCTTGTCAACATCCTTCTTAAATTGTGGTGCCTAGAATTGGACACAGTAATCTAGATGTGGTCTGACCAGGGCAGAGTACAGTGGTACTGTTCCTTCCCTTGATCTGGGCACTATGCTTGATGAGGTTCTGAGCAGTGGTTCTAATATTAATAATAATAATTTATTATTTATACCCCGCCCATCTGGCTGAGTTTCCCCAGCCACTCTGGGCAGCTCCCAATCGAGTGTTAAAAACAATACAGCATTAAATATTCAAAACTTCCCTGAACAGGGCTGCCTTCAGATGTCTTTTAAAGATAAGATAGCTGCTTATTTCCTTCACATCTGAAGGGAGGGCGTTCCACAGGGTGGGCGCCACTACTGAGAAGGCCCCCTGCCTGGTTCCCTGTAACCTCACTTCTCGCAATGAGGGAACCGCCAGAAGGCCCTTGGTGCTGGATTTCAGTGTCTGGGTTGAACGATGGGGGTGGAGACGCTTTCCTTATTAAGGCTTTCCTGCCCCCCTTAAAGTCCATGGCAGAAACTACCAAGAAATTAAATCACTGCATGCATGGATAAATTTTTGAAGCAAAAAATGCATCTGGACTCCTAGAGGGAGCACTTAATGGATGCTACATGCAAAGTCTATTCATTTAGTTACAACAGTGTGGCAAAGTGATTGGGTGAGGGCTGACCAACCTTACTCTGCCCATGGGATACCTGAGAAATATGGGAGACCAATGTTGCACAACACTGTTGCTGATCACAAGGCATGTCTGTTAAAACATTGGCCTTAACTCCCAATTCTCTGATTTTGTGGAGTGCAAAACAATGAAAGAGCCTTAACTCTGGTCTTTTTCTTATTTACTTTTGCTTTATAAAATCCCTAAATCAGATTATCAGATTTGCAGTCTTCTATACATGACCTAATTTATTGTTACATTAGAAATAATGACCTAAATGTCAGTGTCACTACAACAGAGTTAAACCTTCGGGAATTGGGAAGTTTGCCCAAAATCATGTATAATCTAGCAGAGTAGATATGTCAACATGCATAAGTACATGTAGTTTGTTTGACATGATCACCCATAATCCTATAATAATGCAGAATAGAATTTCCTGGAGGGTTTTCCTCAGCTTTAAAATGTCTCTGACATATAATTCCCCCAGCCCCCATAATTTTAGAATGCTTTAATATCTGTAGTAAGTGGAGATGTCTCAAAATGAGAGAGATACACTTTCCTAGCAGCAAAAAAGTCATTTCTTTTTTCTTAGAAAAATATTTCTATTTTATTGAAAATTTTCAGTGGGAAAAAAAGCAGGGCTTTTTTCAGCTGGACTTCACTTCCAGCACCTGTCAGGTGGGTGCCACTGACATTCTAAGCAAACTAAGGAGGTGTTCATGGTGATTTCCAGCACCTCTTTTTCTAGAAAAAAAGCACTGGGTGAAAGAAAATAAAAATAAAATAAAAAGGTGCTTGAAACTGTAAAACAATACAATATATAGGTATATAAGTAATGCTATTATTCCACTGAGTATCTGCATTAAAAAGATACCTGCAAATATGACATGAAGGCTGGTAACATCAACCCCGCCTTGGTGGGAATTCCTTGAAGACAACCACAGTGCCTGGAGACAGGCAGTCAAGTCATGTATCCACAGCAGTGACCAAAGGAGAAATGATTTCTGGAAGGAGTACAGAAAAATAAGTGTAATGTACGCCTCTTTCCAAGACTCTGGTGCCCTTTTCCCTTCCAGTATTTTTTGATACAACAGAATGCAATAAAGAAGAGAAGTCAAAATGAGAAGAAAGACAAAATTTTGGGGAAAATAAAAGAAAGTGAAAAGAAATTGAGAGCAAAACCAAAGTCGCAGGAGATTTTGAGAGAAATAAAGTTATACCAAGTACAATATATGGAAATGATGAATCTGGAAATAGAATGGAAAATCAAACTCCCAGCTCTTTTTTTGCACCTCCCAGATCCCTGTGGACTGTGGAAAAAAGGAAGGAAGGAAGGAAGGAAGGACAACTCTTTGTACGACAGTGCTGTACTGAAAACTTATCCCATTTATTTATTTTACTAACTCTCATCCAGCAATTAATGAGAAAATATATTTAATAAGAACATTATCCAAGAGAGAAAATGATGGAGAAATACATATGGGTCAAGTGCCGGGTAATTGTCACACTTCCTTTATTTTTGGGGTTGCTCAGGGATGTTTATGAGTGTCCTTTCATTCATTCTACAAATCATCTTTCCAGGGATCTGAACTCTGCAGCCTTCCTGGGTGTCTGTGTTTCCTGAAAACCCCATGGCATTCTCAGCTGGGCTTTCTTGTAAACATGGGAAGGTGAGGAAGCTTCCTACTGTGTGTCTGACAACTTAAATATTTTCCACATATATCCTTTCATTCTACAAATTATCTTTCCAGGGATCTGAACTCTGCAGCCTTCCTGGGTGTCTGTGTTTCCTGAAAACCCTATGGCATTCTCAGCTGGGCTTTCTTGTAAACATAGGAAGGTAAGGAAGCTTCCTACTGTATGTCTGACAACTGAAATATTTTTAAAGAAATGAGTGTGGGATGGATTCTTTTTCAAGCAAGGTAAAACGAAGGGCTTCCCTTAAAAACAAGTGAATGCATCACTCTCAGGCACCTGCATCACTCTCAGGCACCTCCACAGCTTTTCTGTGCCTCAGTTACAGTTCAGGGAAAGACACCACAAATTAACTTATCCCATGGGTTTTTTTCAGATCAGGAAGTGCAGGCAGCCAGGGAGGCCGCAGAGTGCTGAAGAAATGTTTAAGGTAGCGGTAAAAACACAGAAAACACAGCCTCAGCTCCACTACAATGATAAATAAATTCTAAAGCGCCCAGGGAAAGAGACAGTAAAATTAAAGCCTCTTTGGCAGGACAACCTGACAGTGCAGAAGTCAGAAGAGTGATGATGTATTAGAATAAACTCATAATAGTTCTGATTATTATTTATTGCCTGGGCAGTATATTTTTCCAGCGATGAGACAAACCGAGTTCTGCTGCGTTTCCGCTAACATAGCTGGAGATCATTAGCTCATTTTTCAACACTTCCTCAAATGTCAGTGGAAGAGACAGCTCATGCTTCTCCATCCTTCTGAGATTTCACTCCACCCTGTGCATAGATGTTGTGTGGTACCAAGAGGGAAAGGCAGTGAGATCAGCCTCCAGCAGTTTGCCAGCCATCCGGTGAGTTTTATCCTTTCATCATTGCTCGCTGACTGTGCACATAGTGAGGTCACCGACTAATTTCTTGAAGAATCAGGGTGAATTTAGCTATAAAAACCCAGGCACCCAAGAAGAGCCAAGTCTCTGTGGAGACATGAAGCCTTTGCAGGAAGATGGTCCCAGGTTCAGTCCCTAGCATCACCAGCCAGGAATGAGAGAGATCCCTTTCTGAAACCCTGGAGAGCCACTGCCAGTCAATGAAAGTTGTGCTAAGCTGGACAGATCAGTGGTATGACTTGGTATAACTGCAGCTTTTCATTTGCATGGACAGGCAGAGTCCCCCAAACCCTGGGCGGCCTCCATGTGGAATAACGACTCAAGACAATGCGCTATGGGATTAAAATTGGCCACAACTTTATTATGTTTCAGATGTGGGTAGACCTTGGCTCAGGCATTGGGCGTTTATCCCTCCCAGTCCCCCGCCAGGGATCTGGGGAACACCAGGGTTATCCAGTGTGTGGGGGGGATGGGCTGGCTCTGGAGAACATATGTTCAAACAGAGAGAGTCTGCCACCATTACGCCGCCGTCGCAGGGGAGAGCAATGACAACCTCTAGGTGCACGGCCAAAGCCTCCCCTCAAAACAACCCCTTTAATGGGGAACCCTGGTATCGGTGCCACAAAGATAAGGGGGGAATGGGTCACCACTATATGCCCACCCCCATTTAGGGAAGACAGGCTAAAGGATTCCACCCAAGGCCTGATACCGCCAAAGTTGTGATGTTTTGCTATGGGATAGGCAAACCTGCCAATGCAGGAGAATTCCTTTCCGGCCCTTCAACAGCGACCTTGACGTAGCAGCGCCCGCGTACCGGTGGAGAATAGGTTAATCTGCAAAAGAAGTCTTAACTGAGGGTGGGTAGGGTGGGAGAAGCTCTGGAGCCAACTAACTATTCCCAGGTAAGATCCTCCCCCTATTGTGTGGGCAGGATGGTCCCTCCCCCTACCTGGCCTGATTACCTTGGCAACGCCTCCCCAGGCAGGATTGGGCAACTGGATGAGGTAGGTGGAGACTCCAGGTATCCCACCTGGGGAAGGCGAAGCGAAGCCTGTGCTAATGGTGCCGCATAGGGTCCAGGGGGCTGCGCGCCACCATGCAAAGGGCGTCCCCCATTTAATGGGGGAGCGGTTATTGCTTGTGATTCCTCATACCCCACCACTGCTGGTACACAACTCACATACACAGTGGGTTTCTGTATCCCAATAAATCTGCCTTGGCATATTCAATTACCAACTATGTTTTGTGGTGTGTGTATAATTGCAGAATTTGTACAACATGGACACGTTTTATGATTAGGAGACACCATTCTTGATCACACACAGAAAATGAAGTCACTTATGTGTTTATTTTCTCTTATTTGTTTGCTCCATTTCTTTTCTGTTATTCTTTTTGCCGCTGGATGCTTGGTCCAAGAAGATCATCAGGATTACAGTTCTGTTTTTGATGGCACTATTAAATAGTTGCCACTTTTGAAAGGGCCGGTGAAACAGCCTCCTGAAAAATGGTGCAGATAGGGCTTGAGAAATATGATTCTGCATTAAATGATGGAGACATAACAGCATCTGATTGTAATGGTGTTGGGACTAGAAAACCACAATGGCTGCATCATTTGATTAAAATATTGTGATAAACACATGGGATAAATAGTTGGAGGCAGTGTGTGTGGGAAACTATTCTGCCCACGGTAAATCACAGCTATTGCTGTTTTTCACTTACGAGTGGCAGTTACATGGTTCAAAAATCTCAGTCTTGCTTTTCCCTGTGCTCTGCTGTAGCGGGATTGATTGCCTTGAGGCTGAAAAGATGAACAAAATATTAAGCAATAAGTCAAATCTATCACCCTGCTTCTTCTTCTTCTTATAAACATTTTGCTTACTGTTCAGCAAACTAAATGAAACTGCTCTCCTCCGTTACTCTCCCATTTCAGGATAAACCTCCCGTTATCTTCATAGCATGGCTTCTTCTGTTTCTCTTACCTGTTCATACTCATTGGCTTGAAGATCCTTCATGCCCGATAATACCTGCCCACAATACCAAAATATTTCAGCAGATATGATGTTGTTCCTAATATACATCACAAGCCAAATCTTATAGGAAGGGCAACAACTGTTTATCTACTGAGTGTCCTTATCGTAGAGTTGTTGTGGTGTAGCTCATAGAGATCCACCAAGGACGACCTTCCCCAACAACTGGTGCCTTTCAGATGTTTTCAGCTACAACTCCAGTTAACCTCAGCCAGCAGGGAGACCAATGGGAAATATTTTTTCTTAAGCTAAAGAAATCGGGGTGAGGTGGGGGGTGGGGTGGGGTGGCAGAGCAGGGTGGCCTCCTCATCCACAATCAAATTATAGCCAAGGGAAATCTTATTCAAAGCTGAGTTAGCATTCAATAGCCCATTTTCCCATGCCGTACCTCTCTTTATCTGCAGCTGGGCCCCCCTCAGCCTCCCCAGATGATCTCACCGCTGCCACATCTTTCCTTCCTCCCAGAAACTCAACGCTACAATACAACCAGCTGCAAGTTTATAACTAGGCAAAGCCCACCCCCATAAGAGAAGAACACAGAACAAAACAACCCAAAACAACCAGGACCCTTAGTCTGTGGGTGATAAAGGGCTGAGCCGACACTTGTCCCAAACACTTGTCCCAAGCCAGTGTGGTGTAGTGGTTAAGAGTGGTAGACTCGTAATCTGGTGAACCTGGTTCGCTTCCGTGCTCCTCCACATGCAGCTGCTGGGTGACCTTGGGCTAGTCACACTTCTCTGACGTCCCTCAGCCTCACTCACCTCACAGAGTGTTTGTTGTGGAGGAGGAAGGGAAAGGAGATTGTTAGCCGCTTTGAGACTCCTTAGGGTAGTGATAAAGCGGGATATTAAATCCAAACTCCTCCTCCTCCTCCTCTTCTTCTTCCAATAGTGGCAGCTGTGAGGGAGCATCCTGTTGTCTCTCCATGGCCTCACCAGCCTCCTCCCTTGGGCATCTCGCAGTGGCTGCTGGAGAACAGGTGAGGAGGAGGAGACGATGCCGCTTTTAAGGCCCTGCCCCGATTAATGCACTGGCTCTGAGGGCAGGACCCTCAGAGGGTCCGGCTGCCCTGGGCAGGAAGAAAGAGCGAGCAGAGCGCAAGGGATCTTGATTCCTCCCCCCCCAATGCTTTGGCCATCTGCATCTAATCTTGTCCCTTTCTAAAATTTATTTATTGGTGTGTGTTTTTCTTTTTATACATCTGCCAAAGAATAAAATAAAATAAAACAGGGATTAAGAGGCTCTTTCAGGACAGTGGAGGCTGTGTGTGTTGTGTCTCGTTGGTCTAGTGGTGGTGAAACCTACCTTTCTTCTGACAGCAAGTGCTGTGTGGGCCGGGGGGCCACAAAAATGGGGGTCAAGGAGGGTCAGTTGGGAGGAGTGAGAGGAATGTTGTAGGGTATGCAATGGTAGGTCTGGCCCTGTGACAAGCAATACTTCATTGGGGCGGAATGTTTGATCTCTTCAACACAAATGCACTCAGCTCACATCAAAGCCTGCAGGATAAGCCAGAGTTAAGGGTTGTCTTTGAATCCTCTTGCTGTTCTCTGCAAGTTTTAGTTTTTTATTTTAACATAGAATAATATTCATTGCAACATAATAGAACACTTTTTAACAATGTCTGGTTGCCCGGACTGAAGCATCTGCTAAGAATTCTTTTTAGTACAGTACAGTAGATACATCTCGGTATATTTTACTGGGATGCTCATTGATGTTCGGAAATAATTGCCAGTAAAGCTCCATAGCTCTGCTGTTATTGCTTTCTTCAAACAGAAGACCATCTGATCTGGCTTTTTCAAGATGTTGAAAGGGAGAAAAAGAAGTTCCAAAGATGAAAAGTGGTGGGGGTTTTTTGGTTTTCTTTTGCTTCAGCTCAACGTTTATTCTTTTATTTAAAATGAAAATATATTTAAATTGTCATTTCAAACCTTGGAAGAGATAATGGAAAGATAACTATCATGACCTTGATGGAGTTATCAGCTGAGGACACTGCGCACAGCTGCAACTTTAAAAATGACGACTCCCTCATCGCAGCAAGATTGTCCTTGTCCAATGAATTCATATTGAGTCACATGATTGGTATCCGATAGGGAGCTGTGGACCCTGGCAAGAGTCAATTGCTAAAAGAGCCAGTGTAGTGTCATGGTTAGTTCGGCTTAGAGAAGATGCACCCAACATATTTAAAGAACATTCAGTGCATGTGACTTCCCTAAAGAAGCCTGGAAACTGCTGTTTCTCCCACACAAAGCTACAATTCCAAGTATCCTTGATAAACTACAGTTCCCAAGATTCTTCATGTGCTTTATACGTGCAGTGCATATGCTTTAAATGTAGGGTGCAGATCTACCCTAAAATGGAGGTGACTTCTTCTTCTATTATTATTATTATTATTATTATTATTATTATTGACGCCACCCATCTGGCTGGGTTTTTCCAGCCACTCTGGGCGGCTTACAGCATACCCAAAAACAAAATAAAACATCAAGCATTTAAAACCTCCAAGTACATGGCTGCCTTCAGATGTATTCTAAAAGTTGTGTAATTCTTTATCTCCTTGACATCTGATGGGAGGGGGTTCTGCAGGGAGGGTGCCACTACTGAGAAGGCCCTCTGCCTGAACTGACTCAGGTTCAGTTCCCCATTGTACAAGCCTGGTTTTTAGCCTATGAGGGAGGAGGAGAACCATAGGCACCGCCTTGAACTTCATGAAGGATCCTTGGGATAGAGATGTAATTAATTATACTAAAAAGGATACATTCTCTGGTTCATTTATGGATGTGTTCTTGTCATGGGTACCTTACACAAGAACATAAGAAGACCCTTGCAGGATCAGACCAAGCACCTGCCTAGTCCAATGTTGTGTTTCCATCAGTGGTTAACCCAATGCCTTTGGAAAGCCCACAGGCCCCAAACATGAACATATTAGCATCTCAGTGGCTGCACCTTAAGGAATATAATAATAGGACTATCAATAATAGGAATATCTGTTATCAGGATAGTAGGATATACCCAACCTGTTCCCCTAAGATAATGGATGGCATCTAACTACCTGTTTTCAACTCAATAAAGTCTGCCAAGCTCTTCATTTTCTGGATTCAGTCTGCTTTACTCAGCCATTGTTGATAACAATATATTCCTTCCAAAAACAATCCAGCACAGCATCAACTCTTGCCAGGGATTTTTTTCAGCTGGAACTCACCGGAATTTAGTTCCGGCATGTCTTAGGTGGGCACTATTGCCATTAAAAAAGAACAAGGCAGGCATTCGTGGTGAGTTCCGGCACCTCTTTTTCTAGAAAAATAGCACTGCCTCTTGCTTCCTACAAAATAGCACTCCCATAGGAACAGGCTCTGTTCAGATACCACTGTTTTTTTCTTGTTTCATGGTCACTGTCTATTAATGAATAGTCCTTCAAGTGAAGAAACCCACTGTTCCAACTGGGATAATGAAGGTAGCCCATTGTGGATCTTCCAATTCTTTTATTTCCTTTCGCTTTCCAAAAAAAGAGAGTTGCTATTCTGAGGAATCCAAAATGGCTTCTGTGACCTCACGTTCACGGGCATCGCTGGGAAGAGCATGGGCAATAGCGCCATCTTGTGATCCATTCTCCAAGATTTGCAAAGTGAAGTCGTGCTCTGGCTGAAGTGATTGTGCACAATGGAACAACTTTACATCCTCCTCATTGGAGCAGCTGTTTCTAGAGTTATTACTGCAATATGGATACAGACATAATAATTGATGACACCCTGCCAAGGACATTTCAAAACTGCTTTTAGCACCACCATTGAATGTGACATTCGATGGAGACATCTGAAGCTTATCAGCCAGGAATTTTACAAGGGCAGTTGCCAACTGATATTCCACAAAACAAAAATGGTTTCTAACATCTACACAACAACAAATCCATGGCCTTTTTTAAAAGGAATGTTGTGCAACATAGAGGTTTTTCCTCTCTCTGTGTCTCTTGTCCTTCCACCCCTTTAGTAAATCTCTGATTCTCTTCTGACACTAGAACTATCTAGCGCTGAAGACACTTTTTGTTATGAATTCTGTAGAACCCTCCTATAATATAAATGTAAACCAAATGTTTCAGTGTTCCATGCCAGTGTGATGTAGCGGTTGGATCAGGACCTGGGAGACAAGGGTTCACATTCACGCTCAGCCATGAAGCTCACTGAATGGTGCTGGGCCAGTCACTGCCCCTCACTCTATCCTACCTCACATTGTTGTTGTGAAAATAAAATGGGGAGGAGGAGAACTATTTAAGCCACCTTGAGCTCTGTGGAGGTAGTGTGGGACATAAATGAAATGCAATAATAATAATAATAATAATAATAATAATAATAATAATAAAATTGTGGGTTTCAATGGAGTTCAGAATGCACCATTTTGCTGTTTTATATATAATGAGATATATATAAAACGAGCTGTTTTGGGTGCCAAACACCACCATGTTCTGATGTGTTGGGTGTGATTGCCATGCCATACCAAGATTGTGTGACTTCATATTTTGTGTGGAATATTGTTGTTTTCAAACTCATGTACTGAAAGCATTTCAGGTCCTGGTTATGAAAGGGCTGGGAAAGTGAAAGTGTCCACACACCCCAAAATGATTTCTAAAGTTGTAGCTTCGTTCCTCCTACATATTTTGACAGGGTAGGGCACAGGTTGGCCCTTTTGTGAATAAATCTATAGTAAACTGATAAATGTATTCCTCCGTGCTATTGTTAGATTTTAATAAAACATGGCCCCAAGTCAGTGTGATGAATCTCCCACCTGGAACAACAGTTGTTTTGCTAAAATGGTTAGTGCAGGGAGGTTACAGCGCTATTCAGTCATGTTATTGCCGCATAAAGTATATCCATAATGGTTATGTGTCTACCAATAAAGCAGGTTATATGAAAGTTTAAAAGCCAGTTGTGTTCTTGGATGGCTGCTTTAATCCGGCACAGGTTAACCCCTGGGAAAAACTGAGAGAAAGAAAATAAAATAAAAGATAAAAGAAAAGTGTGTGTGTGTGTCTAGGGAGAGAACATCACACTGTTGCAACATATAGCCTGAAGCCCCAAGTTAGCTAAAGCGCTTACACATGCTGTATTAAGACCATTTGTCATATTGGAGTAATTGTTTCACTACGTTAGCTTCCACGTTACTAAATATAAAATGATAACATGGCTGAACGGAATAATGCCAGCATACGAAATGTGCCTAGGAGACAGAGGCCTGGAAAGTAGGTTTTGAAATCATTTCCCCATTTAAAATCTGAAAAGAAAGAGAAATCCGCTAAAAGATTGCGGCATCCTGTTAGCGTCTGGCTGGCTCCAGATTATCCTTTGCTTGTGGAAAGGAATTTAAACATGAAGTGGTTTGGCCCAGTTCCTGCACACAGTTAGAAATGCAGTGGCTGCTTCAAAGATGGTTTCATGGGGGCAAGCCTTTGAGGAGAACCAGCTCCCTGTGAGCTTCTGATTATTATTTTCACCCCAAAGCCACCTCTCTTTCTCCTTTCCCGTGTGCAGTGGCGTCGCAACGGGGGGTGGGGTGGTGCATCCCGGGTACCATGTCCTGGCGCTGGCGGCAAACTGCTATGTACAGCGCATGTGCGGTGCCGCATGCATGCACTGTATGTAGTGACACCGCACATGCGCTGTACATAGTGGTTTGCTGCTGGCGCTGCTCCAGCGCCGTACGGAGAACGGTGGGATCCCTCCATCGTCGCTCCAGCTGCATGTAGAGGATCCTCTGTTGGCAGCTGCAGCCATGAGCAGACGATACCGGCACCATCCGTACAGCGCCGGAGCACCAGCAAACCGCTATGTACAGCGCATGTGTGGCGTCGCTATGTACGGCGCGTCGTATGTAGCAATGCCGCACATGCACCTTATGTAGCGACGCTTCGCCCTGGGTGTCATGACGCCTTCGTTCACCCTTGCCCATGTGCAAACACGTTGCTCCCTAGAACAGCCTTTGCCAACCTGGTGCTCTCCAGATGTTCTGGACTACAACTCCCACCACCACCACCGGCCAACCACAGGACAGCCAAATGGCAATGGCTAATGCCCATTGGGACTAGTAGGGAGATGAATAGTAGGCGGAGCCTGAATTAATGGAAGGAGGAGCCAAGGAATTCTGGGTTTCATCCTCCCACTCTCCTCCCTACAGTGTTCTCAAAGGGCAAGACTGAGATGAAAGGATGAGTTGATAGTACAGTGGTACCTTGGGTTAAGAACTTAATTTGTTCCGGAGGTCTGTTCTTAACCTGAAACTGTTCTTAACCTGAAGCACCACTTTAGCTAATGGGGCCTACTGCTGCCGCCGCACCGCCGCACCGCCGCACCGCTCGGTTTAGCGGTGTTAGCGGAGTCTGTAACCTGAAGCGCATGTATCCTGAAGTGTATGTAACCCGAGGTACCACTGTACATTGTTGCTTTAACCTGCCGTAGGGATGCCTCTGACCATGGAGGAAGAGCGTAGCCATCATGGCAAGCAGCCATTGATAGCTTTCCCCTCCATGAATTTGTCGAATCCTCTTTTAAAGCCACTGCCTCCCTTGGAAGCAAGCTCCACAGTTTATATGCAGCACGGAAAAATACTTTATCTCCCCTGAATCTTCCAACATTCCGCTTCAACTTCCATGAGCTGAGAGGGAAGTGAGGGGAAAACTTTTCTCTGTCTACTTTCCCCATGCCATGCATAATTTTATAAACACCTCTGTTACTCACCTTTTCTCTAAACTAAAAAGTCACAAACCTTCTATCAGGACACGGGGCCATCCTATTATCAGGTCATAAACAAGCATGAGGATTATCAGGCCTTATTTGGGGTAGATCAGTAGATCAGATCTTCTGGTGACCCAAATGCATGCAGGAAGAATCTCATGCCTCTGCTAGACAAGACACGGACCACTGTAGGAGGCCTGGTTTGCATTGTGAGGCCTCAGTGTTTTTTCTTCCTTCCATAATGTAGAGAGGGAGAGGACTTCCAGTTTCTTTTCTGATGCTTACGGTGTTATTATGAATCACTGCTAACACTGTGTCACCGTGACCGGGATGCTAGCTGTCATATTTCCTTCACGCACTGTCCCTGTGAATAATGAATGGCCTATCAAAAATGGCAAAGAGCAAAAATGGTCCAAGAGCTTAAACACTTCTTCTTAATTGTGCTCAGTGCAGCCTGAGAAGGAACCCATTTTTCCTTTCATCCTCAGAAGGAAAACAGCAACAAGAGACAGGTTCACCTAGTCAGCACGGCAGGTTTCCATGTAAGTCTTGATGGGGTCCTATTACCTCCCAAACATTCAGCACCCAGTGTATTGTTTCTGAGGGAGTAGATCAAGGGTTGGCAGCCTTTTCATGGGCATGTTTGGATTTTTGAGCAAAGTCATGGGAATCACTCCTTCTGCTCATTTCTCTTACTGCCTTTCCTGGATCAACCCAACACACCACCATATATAGACAGAAAGAGATAAGATGATTGTGCACAGATATTTCACTTTTCCAAAGAATTTGGGTAAGAGTCAGATTCAGCAGAACTTCCTCCTTCTGTGACTTTTCCAAGGATACAATAACACACACCCCTCAAGCCCAACAGTGTGGGAGGGACTCAGAAGCTTCATGGCTATCTGGAGGAAGCATCCAAGTCACTATTGTACCCATGGCCACCACACTGCAGACCCCTAGAAGAGATACTTTCTCTTGCCACTGCCCCCCCCCCCCCGGTCTGGTCCTTATGCTAGGTACATGCTCAGCAAAAAGTCCTTTCATCTGAACCTGCATTCTTTATTAATGCCATTATCACCTACGTAATGCTTAATATTCCACACTACCAGTACTTGGGAGTGCAGGGAACAAGCAACAGTGCCAGCCCAAGTTATATTGCATGGGGCAGCAAATGAAACCCAGCTGCAAGTCAAGGCTATCAGCATTGCTTTGGCAGTTCTGCAGCCAAGTAACATGTACCTGTTAAGATTCCTGCTCCGTGTTTGCAGTCATGAGATTGTTGTCTATCACATGACGGTGTATGTTTTCATTCCACAGTGTGGGCAGTGACGGAGACAGGATGTTTTGGTATTACTGTGTTCCGTGAAGTGGAACTATTGTCCTTTGTTCCTTCTCTCTTTGCTGTCTGATGAGAAAGACGAAGGAGCTAAGTCAGAATGCTCCAAGTGTATTATATGTAAATAAATGTAGATTAGCCAAATGCTGAGCTACTGAGTTCTGTTACACAAACTGTGAATACTCTGCAGGATCCCTAAACATGCTAATGCCTTTTGGCATCAGTCGCTGTGATGTTTGGGTTGGAGAAAGCTTTTGGAGCTCCCGAATGATCAACCAGGGGGGAGAGAACATGCCAGTCGGGTATGTGTCTCTGCCAGGGACCTACACGAGAGTAGGACACTCTTAACAGTATCAATAATAATAATCATAATAATAAAAATATATGAGTACATTTAAAAATATGTTAGTTAAAGCCAGTGCTTTTTTTAAAGGAAAAAATGGTGCTGGAACTCACCATGAAGTTGTAACAGAAAGTGCCACACTTTTAACCTTTGACAAAAAAAGGGGTGCTGGTAGTGCGTACACTTGAGTACCCACAGAAAAAAAAAAGCACTGACAAGATATATAATACTGTATGTATTGATATGATGGCTGCTGCATCTAAAAGAGCAGAAGAAGAGAAAGGACCACAACATGGTGCAAGCATGCCACTGGGCTAAGGTTACCAGATTTTTTTCAATAAATCGGGGGACACTTGTTATAAATAAATAATAAATACTACACGTTTGAGACGTTGATGCTGCAGCGATGGCAGTGGCAGTGGGGTGGCCACCACCTCAACCTCAACAGCCACATTTTCCCTTCCTCCGAGGCTTCTATCTCCTTTCTCCATGAGCCTGGGCAGCCCCTGAGTTGTTGGTTCTTCAGTGGTGTTGGGGAAGGGGTGCACAGTGGGTCAGGCATGGAAGGTGGAGGAGGGCCGAGAGCGGTGGCAGTGAGGCCATCAGAGCACCCCCAATCCCATTCCTACTTGCGTGCAAGCAGGAGGGGGCGAGGATCCCTCATCTGGGAAGGGAGAGATCCCCGCCCTGCTCATGCTTGCATGAAAGTAGGAGTTTGGAGGCTGTTCCGATAGGCAGCATGAAGCCTCCCTTCACAGCTTAGTTGCTGGGATCAGGAAAGGTGGAGGCAGCCCGGAAGCTGTGTCTCAGAGCCCCTGCACCACCATCATATGGGGACTTCGGAGCAGCTCCTGAAGCCAGCCAGAGCCAACTGCTCCAGGCTGCTGAGACTGTGTTTCCCGGGGATATTAGATGAAATCCGGGGACATTCCGGGGATGGAATTTGTCCGGGGACTTATTCGCAAATCCGGGGACTGTCCCCAGGAAACAGAGATGTCTGGTAACCCTACACTGGGCCATCAACTACCCCATCGGTGGAGGACAAGGCACTTACATCAACCAAGGCCATGGTCATCCCAGAACAGGTGGTAGGGTGGGCGTCCCAGCATCTAATGAAACATGGGCATGTTTAAAGGAGCATCTTCTGTGCATGGGAGGTGAAATTAGGGCAAAAAGGAACTGAGCAGGAAGAGCAAACAGTCTCTGGTGTGTTGTAGACTTTGGAGGGGGTTATTTACTGAGACCTTTTGTGGGCAACATAGGAAGAACTATCAAGCACACCTCACTCCAGATATGGATTCAAGTGTGGATACCTTTAGCTTTCAGCTAACTCCCACGACACAGTACGGAACATAGGAAGGAGCCTTATACCAAGTCCATCTAGACCAAGTCCGTTGGTCCATCAAGCTCAGTACTGTCTACTCCAAGCATGCCCTTTACCACTGAGACTTCATGGCGTCATAAGACCTCTCTTAGCAAGGCTCACACATTGCAAGCATCGTCCGCACACTGATTGCTCTGGATCCGGAACGATCAGTTTATTTTCTGTTTGAAAATATTCATCATCTTTGAAAATTGGAAAATTCTCCTAATGCATTATCTATTTCTTCTTATGATCTGATTAAATAATCATTATATCATTTAGACATGCCTAATTCCCAAACTTGTTTTTGCATTGTATAAGTGATAAATCTTTCAAGGTTACATTTCATTTATCAAGAAATGAAACTCGTTTTAATTTATTTTCACAAAGGGGATCATAGCAATTTGTATGCACGGCACAATTAGTCTCATAGTGCAAGATTTCAATGACTGCAGTAATATTAATTTTTATGTAATCTCTTTCATTTTCAGGCTGACCACTTTTATGCTTTCTTCCTCCCTCTCCTCTATTTAAGCTGTAGTATTAGTTTCATTCTTATTGTTACCAAATGGTTTAAAATTCTGTTCTGCATTCTGACTTGAATATGTCAGCCATTCATTCTTTGCTTGATAGCAGATCATTCAAGTGAGTATACACTGCTGAAATTCCGAGCAATTTGAATGCAAATTAAATCAATACAATATCTCAAAAGAATGTTGCCCTTAGAGAGACTACAAGTTATCAGCTGTTTGAAAATTCTTTATCAAATGAAACTGTTTTGACTTAAAACTGCGTAAGTGCTCCCTTTGAAAATTATTGTTACATTGTCTGATCCTAAAATGACTCTCTAACTTTTCATCAGGAGTTAAAATGGCATTGCAATATGAATGAGAGGGGCAGAACAATCT